CCCCCCCATCATCAGTGAGCATTAGGAGCCGTTACCCACGCTCCGCTGTGGCAGAGGTGTTGGCATCACAGCCTCCGTAATTTGCTGGTTTCCAGTGTTTCACTGGAAAAAAATATGGACCACGAATCCCGATGGACAAGCTTCAGCAAACACAACACTGTCCCTGAGAGGCCGTGTTCCACATCCTTTCCCCGTCTGCAAAGGAGTTTTTCTTACGTCTTTTGGTAATTGCCATGAGCTGGACTTGTAAATATTGTAAGTGGTTGAGTAACACTCATCTGGTAAACTGACCAAAGGAAGCGGACGGTTTTTTTCCACTCCTGGAACTCTGGTATCCCAGGCCTGCCCCTGAAAGGGGCACTTGGGGATTGGAAGGGAAAATCTGCCCTGCCAGGTGCCAGCAGGCCCCGCGCAGAGCTGAGTGATGTGTGCAGGAAGGCTGCCGGCGTCCGCAGCCTCGCCCGGTGTTTGTGTGCTGGGTTTGGGGGCAAAGAGCATTCATTGTTTCAGAAGTTGGTAGGTTCCCAGAAGTTCCACTGCCTTTCCTGGGTCTGAAGTGTCCAACATTTCCTTAGCCGGGGGCGGGGGCGGGGGATGGATGACTAGACCCCCTGAGGTTTAAGCCCTACTAGGGGCAAGAGAAAGAAGTTCTCTCTGTCACACATGACGGAATGCTTTTCCTGTTCTTCCCGTGGCCAGTGGCCATCGGTGGCTTGGTCTCCCTCGTTCTCTAAGCTGGAACCACCTTCCCATATCTGAAGTGGTGGGGGCTCTTCCCTGCCTCTGTCTTTAAGGAATAGCAACCCCTCTGTTTTGCGTGGCGGCGGTGTGGTGGATTTTCTGATGATGCCTTTTGGTGATACTTACTGAGGTATCTGTAGATGAAACGTGTGGGAGTTGCTTCCAAAATATACACCAGGGACAGGGAGCAGGTGAGGGTATAGATGAAACCAGATCGGCCACGAACCGACCCCTGTTAAAGCTGAGTGGTGAGAGTTCATCACAGCTCCTTAGACTCTCCCGTCCACTCTTGTATTTGTTTCAATTTTCCCACTATAAAAAGTTGCCCAAAGGAAGAAGCAAAGAAATGGGAAAAGGAAAAAAAAAAAGAAGAAACTCTTTATCTCAGTTTTCCAGCCCAAAGACACCTGGGCCTCTCTCTCTCTCTCCCCGATAAACCCCATGCTGTGTCGGGAATCAGGATCCCCACCCCCACCCCCCCGAGACAGGCCCCAGGGGTAAGAAAGGGTAAGAGCCTGGCCCGAGGGCTCCATCCCACCTGGATTCCAATCCCAGCTCTTCCTCTCACCAGCTGTGGGGCATTAGGTAAGAGAGTTAGTTTTCTAGAACTTCAGTTTCCTCATAAAAAAACAGACAAGAATTACCTGTTGCTGAGACTCGAGCAAGGCAACCTGGCCCGCTTTGAACAGTCCACGCACGCCGTGGCTCAGCTCTCCCTGGCTTTGAAAAGACCCTTGGTTTCTCTTTGCGAAGCATCCTTCAGAGGGGAGAGACTCCATTCAAGGAAGGTGCTAGAGCCGTGTTCACATTCCAGAAAAGCCCAAATTCTACTCTTTGACCCAAAAGAATCCACAGGGCTGCAGCTGGCTTTGGCTTATCCCTGTCACCTGCCTCCTCAGAATAACTTCCTCAGTTGACCCTGGGCGCACCCCGGTTTACTTAAACCTGCTGGAAACCTCCTACCCAGAGGACCCCTGTTTGCTCCGAAAGGGTTTGAAATGTCAGTCTTATTTGTCGTTGATCTCAAAGTCCCACTTTTCATCTTTGGACAAGAAACCAAGTTTATCACATATTATCAAGTTACAGTCTCTGTGTCAGCAGGTGAAGGGCGTTTCATTTTTCACAGGTCTTGTGGACCCCGTCGTACCTTTCCTGTGGCACCATTTGTAGAACTCACGGTTTCCATGGTAGATAATCATCGGCTGAAAGAGGAATCACCATATTGACGATGGTTCCGATAGGGCCTCCACACTCTGCCCACGCTGCGCTGTGAACCGTCTCCGAAGTGCGGGAGCTTTTCCCCATCCCCCTGGGGTCTCTGCGGGGTTTGTAATTGGGATTGACCATCTTTTGAAGTTTCCCTTGGACTCAACGCATTTTCCTAGCTCCGCTCTCCCCATTGCTTTACCTCCTTCTGTGTCCTTCTCGTTGGTGCCTGATGTTCCTTCCAGATACTCAATGCATTTATTCGTTTATAGCAAAAAGAATGTCTCGTGCCTCTTTCGTGTGCCAGGCCCTGCCCCAGGCACAGGGGACGTGGTGGTGAACACAGCCCCTGCCATAGACGCTCACGTGCCAGTAGCGGATGTAGACAGTAACTGACTGAGGACCCAAATCGTGGTTGAAGAAGGGTCACTGCAGAGACAGAAGGAACACGGTCCATTGCAGGTCACGAAGGAGTTCCTGGAGGATGGGAAACTGATGCTGAGTTTTGGAGAATGAACAGGGGTTAGACTGAGAGGGACAGGAAAGCACGGGTCCAGGCCGGGAGGCAGGAGGGTGCAGGGCACGTTGGAAGAACCGAAGTCAGGATGGCCCGAGCACAGGACACCGTGTGGCTTCACGGGTCGCAGGGGGCAGATGACGCAGGGCCTTCAAATGCCATGAGGAGTGGGGATTCTAAGCCGTTGGACCGTTTTGAGCCAGGAAGCAACCTGATCTGATTTCCATTCCAGCTCAATTGTGGGGAAAGGACTGGGTAAAGGGAGCGGCTGGTCAGTCCTTGCAGTGACCCAAGCAGGAGATGGTGGTGACTATGATGCCTGAGGCTGCTTCCATCGGACCGCAGGCTCCATGCGCAGAAACTCAAACCCGATGTATGGTTTCTCCTTCCCAGCCATTTACCGCTCTTGATTTCTTTGTCCTGCTTTTCTCATAATCGCCCTGATTTGAAAATTCAGGGCCACTCATATGGGCCTCCCCTTGGGCCATCGCAGCCTTGGTCCAGAACCCGGGCCGCACAGGCAGCCTCTCAGCCCCACGCACCCTCCCAGCCCCAATCCTGGCTGAGCGTCGGCGGCAGGACTTCTTCCTGAGCCACCACTCAGCCCGTCTTCTCCCCTTTCCTCAGAAACGCAGTCTTCCCCCTTGGCTTTAGGATAAGCCTGGGCTCCGGAGGGCCAGCAGTGGCCCCTGACGCTTCACCTCGGTCTGTCTGCTTCCCTCGTTTTCACTGTTTTTTAAGGAAAAAGATTGCACAATATGAACCTTTCCCCCAGCCAAGAAGCAGTGGGATTCCTGCCCAGGTGGAGCCTTCGGTCAGCCTGGAGATGTTTCTGGAGGCAGAAATGAATGAAAAGATGTGTTCTTCCACTCTGGCAAGAAGGTGGACTGAGAGAATGTTCACTCAACAGCCACACACACCCCCACCGCCTTACTACAAGCATCTTGAAATGCTAGATGAAATATTACAACACCCCCTAGAGTGTTAACGGATGGCTGAATTTACAAGGAAGAAAGGAAATCCCAGATGAAAGAAATGGAGGGAGAGCCAGAGACCAGCACCTAAGTGAGACCATCCGTGGCCACAATGACGTAGAACAGGGTCGGCAGATTCTGTGAAAGGCCAGCCAGTAAGTGCGTTAGGCTTTGCAGACCCCAGACAGCGTGACACATCTCCTTTTTCTTTTTTGACAACCCGGTAAAAATACAAAAACCACTCTTAGCTCATGGGTTATATAAAGCAGACCACAAGGGACTTTCCTGGTGCCGCAGTGGTTAAGAATCCGCCTGCCAATGCAGGGGACGTGGGTTTGAGCCCTGGTCCGGGAAGATTCCCACATGCCGTGGAGCCCGTGTGCCACAACTACTGAGCCTGCGTGCCACAACTACTGAAGCCTGCACGCCTAGAGCCCGTGCTCCGCAACAAGTGAAGCCACTGCGTATGAGAAGCCTGAGCACTGTGATGAAGAGTAGCCCCCGCTCGCTGCAACTAGAGAAGGCCCACGTGGAGCAACGAAGACCCAATGTAGCCCAAAATAAATAAGTATTTTTAAGAAAGAGGCACACTTGCGGCAAGGCTAGAGGAAAAAAATGGATGCACGAACAGGTGGTGTGAGAAGTAAAAAGGACTGAGAATACAGCAAAGTGTTTAAATTATAGGAGAATATAATGAACAATCTTATACCAGTACTTTTGGACACTCAGAAAAAATGGGCAATTTCCCAGAAAAATATAATTTAACAAAACTGACTCAAGAAGAAGGGGAAGCAGAATTCCCAACGTGGGGAGCTGTCCAAGTGTGGCTGAGTGTCGAAAACACCTTGAGCGCTATTCATTCGTTCATTCAACAATTGTGTGTTAAGTCTCCACACCAGGCACTGTTGTAGAAAGCTGGCGATGCAGCAGTAAATAAAATAATCAGAACTCCACACGCTATGTCCATTCTGTCCAGCAGAACTTTCTATGAAGATGGAGATGTTCTCTGTTGTCTGTCTGATAGGGTAGCCATTGGCCACATGTGGCTCTTAAGCTCTAGAAGCCTGACGTGGCCAGTGGTTATCTGGTAGCCAATAAGATCAATAACGTGTTAACGGCTTCCTATAAGAGAATAAGCTGCTGAACTCTGGGGACCCTGAGCTTTCCCGAAACAGCTCCTCAGTCTGAGGTGGGCAGTCCTGGTGGCCAAACAGCCACGTGACCCTGACTCCCCTGTTACTTGTAGAGCATTTTCACGTGCTTCACCTCATCTCCTCACTCCCCTCTCGGGGCCTTCATTTAGCGAGCGCTTGCGCCATCGTGGCTGGGCCCTGTGTCTGATACGCCACCACCGTGCTGGCCTCCGGGGTGTAGGAGGCACTCATCACCCACCAGGGAAGTCAGCGTGGAAGGCAGTGAGCGCGTCGGGTGAAGGGGCCGAGTCCTCCTGGGCCCTCCCTCTTCATCAACGTTGCAGGGATGGGCGTGGTGAGTCCAGCCGCGTCAGCTGGGGGAGACGGGGCGGGCTTGGCGGGCAGAGCTGGACACAGGGAGCAGACTGGCCGGGAGGGCCGATGCTCTTCTTTGTGGTCCCCAGCCAAGAAGTTGAGGAAGTAAAACTAGAAAGTGTTAATATAAAAAAACTTAAAGAAAAAGTCTGTCTCTCAGAATTTTTTACAGAGGGGTGCCAAGTATCTTGGGCTCAAGAAGGAAAGCTAAAGCCATGTGGATAGGGGAGAAAATGGATTCTAGAATCAATATTTCTTCATAAACACCAAGCCCTTTGCTTTATCAAGGCCTCATCAATGCAAACAGAAAACTGCACAGAAGCCGAGCTGTGCACAGAAGCTGGAGCGGGGGGCTAAAAGGGGAGGCCCCAGCAGGTCAGGAACGCGGGCACTTTTCCGGCACAGCTCTCGAGGTGGCGAGATGGCAACTCTCCGGTGTCCCTGGAGCCCCTCCCGCAGCCTCCAGCCTGCAAAACCAGAGGCCGCTGACAGCGCCCCCACACCGGGGCTCCCTGGAGAACTGCATCCACTGTCTCTCAGAAGATACCTCACGGGATGGGTGATGCTCGTCTGGTGTGAGTCCTTATAGGGGATCTTGTATGCTTCTGTTTTTCAGGGATGATAATGGTGATTCTGTTGCTGCTCGTGGCTATTGTGGTCGTTGCAGTCTGGCCTACTGACTAGTGGCCGTCAAGGGACCACCAGCCGGGACACCTGCCAGTGATGGAGTAAAGTTCAGCATCCTCTTGGTGCCTGAAAGCCACTCTCAATAAATTCCCCCAAAGCTCTGAACTCCTGACGTGCGTTGCTTCAGCAAAGGCAGATCGTGTGGCAGCTCCAGAGAGCTGCCGGGGTATTGGGCAGTGTGTGGCCCTTGTGGGTTCTGCCTTGGTCACTGGGCTGCTAGCCCAAGGTCCCTCAGTGGTCACTGCCCTGTGGCTGCTGATGGATTCCGGCCACCCCACAGCGTGCTGGGCACCCTGGGGGGACGATGCCGAATTCCTAGGCAGCTTGTGACCTCGAGTGTCTAGTCTGCTTGGGGAAGTCATGTGCCCATGTGGGAGACCAGTGAACAGCCAAGGCCACGTGTGTCCAAGAGGGAGGAAGGAGTGACATGAGGAAGGAGAGACACGCAGGCACGCGCCTCTGGGCAACTGCCGCCCGCCTCACTGCCCAAGTCCCCCCCAGGGCTCGCCACCCCTACTGGTGGAATAGCTCAGGACTCGACTCTAGGAACAACCTTCAGACCTAGAAGCATGTTCTGGTTTCCTCCTCGGTGTAGTAAACCCATCTCCCCAGGCTGAAACATCCCGTACGCAGCCGGAATCAAGTCTGATGAATCTGATCAGGCAGGAAGGTACCGTTTAGGGTTCAGAGGAAGGTGTGATTGATTATGCAGGGAGGAGAACAGTACCTTTATTTGGCTCCTAAACTGGCCCTGACAACCTTGTGTGTGCGAGTGTGCACTGCACGCGTTGCACACGTGTGCACGTGCGTGATGGCAAGGGCAGACGCGTGGGCTAGGCCTGCGAAGGGTGCCAGGCCCGCGGGAGCGGCGGTGAGTCCGGGTTGGAAGGGGCAGAGGGCCAAGCTTCGTGCCCTCCCTCCTGGCCAAGCGGAAGGCGGGCCGGGCCGGCGGGCCATGCTTTGTGCTCCGTGGCTCCAGGGCAAAGAATTGGTGATGAAAAACTAGGGCAGTTTCCAAGCACAAGATTTCCCTGGAAGAGGAGAGATCGGGCAGCTGGGAGGTGGGTCCTGGGGGGTCTCCTGTGGATTTCCTAGAGACTGTGGGCGGCTGCTCTCCAGAAGGCGTGACCTGACCCATCTCACCGCATCCTCCCTCCCCGGGGAGCCGAGATAGGCACCAGGAGGACCGCGCTGCAGACTGGCGACCCGGAGACTCCAGCGCACAGCGAAGACCTGGCTCCAGACCCCAGGCCTCCGTCAGGGGAGCCAAAGTTCTGTGTTTGGTCAGTTGTAAGTCGCCGCAAAGGCTGGGTGGCCCTATTCCCAGCAGTTCCCCGCTAGAGGGGCCAGGTCACTACCAGGCCACCTGGGCAGCCCCGCTGCCACCTGGTGTGTGTGTGGCGGTGACACGCGGCACTCTTCTGGGAGGTGGTCTAGCCCTGGACTCCGCTCCGGGTCAGCTGGGACGGCGCTGCAGTCACAGTCACCCAAATCCGAACAACCTCACTCCATCCCCAGAGTCGGTGCCTCCCTCCTGCTGCCCGTCCACGCAAGTCAGCTGGGGGCCCAGACCCGGGCTGCTGGGACAGCCACGCGGGCTGTGGCAGAAGAAAGGGGACTCTGGGAACGCTCTGCCCAGAAGGGAAGCCGTCGCCTCTGCTCGCAGCTCCCTGGCTGGACTCACCTCATGTGCTCAGCGAGAGGACCGGGAGGCACCCAGAGGCAGAGAGCCTGAACTAGGCAGTGCCGCCCGCTGACAGCCACGCCCCTCGCCAGCAGTGCGAGCGCGAGCCAGATACCCTTCCGTGCCTCCGTTTCCTCCTCTAGAAAATGGAGAGAACACAGCTTCCTGCCTCCAGGGCTGACTGCGAGGGTCGGGTGAGCCAGTACGCGGCAGCACGGAGCACCCCGAGGGCCTCAGCTGACAGCGGGTTCTCCCTCTACCCCAAGCCTACAGCCACCCCCCGGCCCGGGTGGCCTCCGCATCCAGGGCTCGAGGATCCTACCCCCTGCTTCCAACCCGGTGCCCGCTGACCTCCAGGGCTGCCAGCACGTGCAGAGCAGGCGAGGCCCTGGGAGCCGTGTTCAGACTGGCGGTGGCCCAGGGACAAGGGCAGGAGCGGGGCAGCCCTGAGCAGGAGACACGCCGTCGGGGGTCGGGACGGGGAAGCACAGGAGAGAACACGGAGGCAGGCTTGTGTCGGGAACCAAGACGCTGTGCTCCCGAAGGAGCCGGGCCGGACGGGGGCCAGGCGCCTGCGCACCCTAAGGCGCCCTGGGAGGCACTTTCCGCGGGGGCAGGGCGGTTGCTAACGGATCCCCCAGTGGAAGATCGGGCATCCGCAGAGCACATCGTTCAGTCTTGTGCCAAACCCCAAATCTGTATAAACAGCGTCTCCTTGGATCCCCCCACTTTGGGGCTCACGGGAGGGGGCACTGAAGGTCTGTTTGACTTTCTCACCTCCCCTTGCTCAGCATGGAGCCCCGGCAACTCGGGGGGGGGGGTCTTTGAACCAGAGCCATGGCGGCCTGGCTCGGTCGGCCACACGGAAAGGCCTTTCCGAGCCAAACGCTCAGCCGATATCCGCACACAGCGGCTTCTGTTCTTTTGACTAAGTGGGCTCTAGGCATGGCCCAGCCCTTCCTAGCCGGGTGACCTGGACCTGCAGGCAGGGGAGGGGGTAAGAAGCTGGTGGGGTGAGACCGTGAGGACCTGCCGTCCAGGCCTGGGGTGGTGCCGGGCAGGGAGGCTCCCCCTTTTGGGAGATACCCACCCCACTCTGAACTGAGGGGCAGCCCAAAATTGCCGAGGCATCCCGAGCGGCTGGGATGGGCCCCCCACCCTGGGGTCATGTGGCATTTTCCAGCTGGGTCTGGCCAGGCCTGGTTTCCCCCTTCAATGGCGTCAGGCCCAAGGTCCCAGGCGGCCGACAGGGCTCTGGATCGGCGGTGTGAGCAGTTAGTAGTACCCCAAGCGTAGGGAAGAGAGGCACGACCCGTCACCTGGGGTGCGTTTTCGATGAAAGTAAACTTTATTAAAATAACGTCATAAGTACTGTTTAACTGAACTGATTAATTAGAAGCATTTAAAGTCTGGATACTATATAAAGAAATCCAGATACCTGGTTACCACGGGTACT